ACGGAAATAGTAGCACTAGTCATAGTGGTAGTCGTAGTCGTAGCAATAATAGTGATAGTAGTAGTAGTAGTAGTAGTAGTAGTAGTAGCAGTAGTAGTAGTAGTAGTAGTAGTGGTAGTAGTAGTAGTAGTAATGATAATAATCCTGAAATTAGTGGGAGTAGTAGGAGTCGTCGTGCTTGTAGTCGTGGTGGTAATCCGGCTTGTAGGAAAAGTACTGGTACAAGTCGTAGCAATCGTAACAGTCGTGATGATAGCAGTAGTAGTAGTAGTAGTAGTACTACTAGTACTAGTACTAGTAGTAGTCGTAGTCGTAGTAGTAGTTAGTAGTAGTAGTAGTAGTAGTAGTAGTAGTAGTAGTAGTAGTCGTAGTAGTAGTAGTAGTAGTAGTAGTAGTAGTAATAAGTAGTAGTAGTAGAAGTAGTAGTAGTAGTAGTAGTAGTAGTAGTAGTAGTAGTAGTAGTAGTAGTAGTAGTAGTAGTAGTATTAGTCGTAACAGTAGTAGTAGTAGTTAGTAGTAGTAGTAGTAGTAGTAGTAGTAGTAGTAGTAGTAGTAGTAGTAGTAGTAGTAGTAGTAGTAGTAGTAGTAGTAGTAGGAGTAGTAGTGGAGTGGTAGTAGTAGTAGTAGTAGTAGTAGAGTAATATAGTAGTAGTAGTAGTAGTAGTAGTAGTAGTAGCGTAGTAGTAGTAGTTAGTAGTAGTAGTAGTAGTAGTAGTAGTAGTAGTAGTAGTAGTAGTAGTAGCAGTAGTTAGTAGTAGTAGTAGTAGTAGTAGTAGTAGTGGTAGTAGTAGTAGTAGTAGTTAGTAGTAGTAGTAGTAGGTAGTTAGTAGTAGTAGTAGTAGTAGAGTAGTAGTAGTAGTAGTAGTAGTAGTAGTAGTAGTATAGTAGTAGTAGTAGTAGTAGTAGTAATAGTAGTAGTCGTAGTAGTAGTAGTAGTAGTAGTAGTAGTAGTAGTGGTAGTAGTAGTAGTAGTAGTAGTAGTAGTAGTAGCAGTAGTAGCAGTGCTTGTGGTAGTAATCGAGGTGGTCGTAGTAGTATAAATGAAATTGCTGGAATGGTAGTCGTACTATGAGTCGTAGTCGTCTCTTCGTAGTAGCAAGTATTGGTGATAGCGGTAGTAGTTGTAGTAGTAGTAGTAGTAGTCTCTTCGTCGAAGTAGTCGTAGTCGTGGTCGTAGTCGTAGTCGTAGTAGTTGTAGTAGTAGTAATAGAAGAAGAAGTAGTAGTAGTAGTAGTAGTAGTAGTAGTAGTCGTAGTAGTAGTAGTAGTAGTAGTAGTAGTGGTGGTAGTAGTAGTAGTAGTAGTAGTAGTAGTAGTAGTAGTGGTGGTAGTACTAGTGGTAGTAGTAGTACTTGTGGTGGTAGTAGTACATGTAACCGTAGTAGTGGTGGTAGTCAGAATCGTAGTAGCAGTAGTACTAGCAGTAGTAGTAGTCGTAGGCGTAGTAGTCGTAGTAGTCGTAGTAGTCGTAGTAGTCGTAGTAGTAGTAGTAGTAGTAGTAGTAGTAGTAGTAGTAGTAGTAATAGTAGTAATACTAGTGGTAGTAGGAACATAATAGTATTAGTAGCAGTAGGGGTGATAATACTAATGGTAACCGCAGTCGTGCTAGTTACAACAATGGCAGCAGCAGCAGCGGACACATCTTCACTGGCAGTAGAAGGAGCAGCCGCCGTAGTAATAGTAGTAGTTGTGGAATGACAAGTAGAAGAAGTAGTTCCCCACATCCTAAGTGGGATTCTTGTTTTCTCTGGACACCCCGCGCAGCCCTCCTCCTCAAGTGCCTTCCTCCGAACACACTGTCGCACAATTCTCATCGTCATCATCACCGTCATCACCGTCATCGCAGTCATCACAGTCATCATCATCTGTAATCCCACTTAAGATGAAGCCAGGATCGGGGCAAAATTTGACCGGGATAAAAATCATGCTCGGTTATTCAAATCACTGGGGGCGCCGCCGAACGGGCCTGCCACGCCTTGGGCGCCATCGGCTTCGCGAGGGAAGAAATGCGCCCCGGCGCGGATGAAGCCACGGCGCGTATTTGGCCACGCGCGCGCCCGAGGGAATTCAGCGCCAAGCGCCTTTCACTCCAGAAGGCCCGACGTCAACAAAACAAACATGAGGCCCCAAGGGGGCCCCAAGGAGGCGGACCGCCAAAACAATCACGCAACCAACGCAACGAAAAACACGAACATGTCAAACATCGTGTTACTCAGTGACCTCTTCGGCCACGCAACACCGCGATAATGCCCAAAAAGGCATTGGAAAAAAAGTCCCGCGCGCGGCCAGGCGACTTCCCCGAGCCGCCCCAAAGTTCCCGAAACGCGCCGAAATAACCGTAGAGAACACCCCGGAAAGTCTTTGGAACATCCCCGCGCCATGCAAGATCCGGCACCGAACAATTTCGCGGACACCTAGCGCGTGCGCGCGGGCGTCCACCATGGATGCCCAACTCAGGTTTCCGAGACAATCGCGCGCAACCGCCTGGGGGCCTCGGCAACCTCGCGATTGGCCCAGGGGCCCGCGGGCCCCAGGGAATCGAAGACCGAGTTCGCAACTCCGGAAGCATCGGGCGCGGCGCCAGCCAATCGCTCGTCTCTGGCTGACAGTACGACGCCTGGAGACCCGGTAAAACCTAAGGAACCGCTTTTCAGAGATTCACAGAACCAGAAACCGGGGCGCGCCAGATTCTCGCGTCCGAACTTCTCTGAGAATCTCTGAAAATCTCTTAATTCGCCACCCCGCGTGAGACATTCCCATAAACCCAAAACCTCGGAGCTGGCCGAAACTCTCTGAGTTTTTTTCGGCCCGCGAAATTTGGCGCGCCCGGATTTCTGGTTCCGAGATTCTCTGAAATCGCACTGCGGCGGCGCCCAGCAGGTCCTCGCGCGCCCCGGGTGGGGGCCGTGGACATCGCGGGCCGCGATGGTCCCGACCGCGAGGTCCTTCCTCCTGCCCCTCGACGAGTCCACGCTCATGGACACGCTCTCTGCGCTGAGCGTGGACCGCGCCATCCGCCGGTACTTCTGCGCGACGACAGCCAACTGGCCGCCGACGGACAAGGCGAATTTTCTCCAAACTGCGCGTGCCACCGAAAACGTACAATAGCCCCGGGCTCGGGGAGAAACACTTTCGAAGCATTTTCAGGCCGCCAGCGTCGTGGCTGCCGACCCGCCGCGCGCCGACCGAGAGACTAGCTGGGTCCACTACGTCCACGGCGGCGGGCGGGCGCCCAAGAGAGCTGTCGCCACGGTGCGCGCGGCGGGGCGCCCGCCCAACTGCAACCGCAAATGCGGCCTCCATGGCGCCACAGGCGTAATATGTGTGACGCATTCTCGGGCCCCCCATCAGCGCATTGACCAGCGCCCAAGTCCCTGAAACGCAAACCTACTGTGCCCCCCGTGCAAGCCGCGCACCCGCTCACAATGCTCGTGCACACCAGATTTTCTGCCCGCCCTCAACAGTTCAATTGAGCGCCCATGTGTTACTTGGGCTCCTCAAGCCCTCGAACACTCTTTGGGAACTTCTGCGACTGCGCGCGCTACGCTCCACAAATCGGCGTTCTATTTTTCTCTGGAACTATCCCAGAATCTCTGGTTCCGATTTGTCCCGATCTTCCGCTCAACTGACCACTACATCCCCAGTCATCATCAACGACTCACTCTCTCACTCACCCACGTTCTTTCACCACCCACTCATCATCAAGTCAGGGTCCCAACATGTTCATCGGACATCAACGTGATCGTCGTCATCACCACATGCGCACACCAACATCGCCATCAGTATCACCATCCCAGCATGACCATCGACCAAAGTGGACCTCGTCTGTAATACATCGAAAAGAGTCTCGAAAACTAGCCCGCCGTCTATGGGGTCCGCACTTCACACTGGTAATCCGAACGGGTCATCGGATCCCTGTAGCTGTCGTCATGTGCCGGCTCCTCTGGACTGAATATGGAGGACGTCTCGAGCGGGATCTTTGTCTGCGAATGAACTGTGAGGAAATCTCAGGCGAGAGACCCTTCCCTAGAAGGTCCGCACTTCATGATAGTAGTCCGAGCGGGTCATCAGATTCCTGAAACTGTCGTCACTTTTCGGCTGCTTTGGACTGACTGTGGAGGAAGTCTCGAGCGGAAACTTTGTCTCTGAGTGAAGTGTGAGGACGTCTCAGGCGAAAGCCCCGTCCCTATGGGGTCCGTCACGTTGGCAGTCCGAGCGGATCACCGGATCTTTGTAACTGTCGTCGTTTTTCGGCTGCTGTGGACTGAGGATGGAAGATGTCTCGAGCGGAAACTTTGGGAGTGAATTGTGAGGAGGTCTCAAGCGAGAGCCCCGTCCCTATGGAGTCCGCGCTTCACGTTGGCAGTCCGAACGGGTCACTGGATCACTGGAAGTGTAGGTAATCACTTTCCGGCTGCTCTGGACTGCGCATGGAGGACATATCCAGCGGGAGTTTTTTTTTCTGTGTGAGCGACTTGCGAAGTCACAAGTGAGAACCCCCTCCTTCTGGGGTCCGCACTTCACGTTGGTAGCCCGAGCGGGTCATCGGATCCCTACAACAGTCGTCGTTTTTCGCATGGAGGAAACCTCCAGCGGGAACTTTGTCTGTGAGTGAATTGTGAGGAGATCTCAGGCGGGAGCCACCTGCCTGTGGGGTCCGCACTTCATGCTGGTAGCCCGAGCGGCTCATCGGATCCCTGTAACCGTCGTCAATTTTCGGTTCTCTGGGGTAAATATGAAGGAATTATCGGCTCCTCAGGCCTGCATCTGAAAGAAGTCTCAGGCGGGAGCCTCGCTTGTGAGTGGATTGCGACTTTCGGACTCCTGCGGCTTGAATATGGAGGAAGTATCAACAGGGAACCTCGTCTGCGAGTGAGTGGCGTAGAAATCTCAGGCGGGAGCCCTCTGCCTACTGGTCCCGTAACTAATGTTTTTCATCGGGGCGGGTCATCGCATCCCTGTAACTGTTGTTTCTTGGGGCCACAGGCCTGAATCTTGACG